ACATATACATAAATATATATACTTTTATAAATATATATACATATACATATATATACACATTCATATATATACACATACATATATATACATATACATATATATACACACATACATATATATACATATACATATACATATATATACACATACATACATATATATATACATATACATATGTATATGTAAATCTAGTAGTCTACTACCACCTTATAAGTAACATGATCATGATTTAGCAAGTCCCAACAACCCTGGCCACGTGCTGTAGGACAAATGGTATACCTGTCCAGACTTGCGGTCTTTCCTCAGGTCGCAGTAATCGAGACCAGGGATTAGGTCAAACAACTTCCATAGCTGGTCCTGGTTGAGGGTAGGCGAAGCGATAACTGTCAGCCGCGTCACACCCTCGGGATTTAGCCCACTTGTGTCCACTGTAGAGGGGTCGGATGTCCGCAATCAGTTGTGTCATTGGTCAAATATAGAGCCACAAAAAAAAATGTAACTTTTTTTTTTTTCTTGGCTAAATGTCCTAGTTTGCTAAGAGACTCCCCATGGGTGCATTTTTGATCATATATACAGAGGCATAAATGTTTCTGAATCTCTTTTGGTCTACTATTTTTTTTTTTACCTTCTTGGGACACCCAAGAAAAACTCTACCAAAATCTCTAAGATAGAAAAAAAAAAAAACTTGGGCAAACTATGCAAATAACATTAATAAAGTAGCAATTCATAATATCTACCATTTTATCAACTACACAAAAAGCATTAAAAACTAGAAATACAAAATAAACAACAACACAATCAGCCCATAATCTATGTAAAAGAGAAATGACAGTGAAGGACTTTCACACAGACACAGAGTTGAATGAGCAACTGAGGAGGGCAGTTCAGTCAACAGACAGATGGACAGAAGAGATATGGCTGTAGGAAAGGCAGGTCAACAGATAATGGGCAACAGGTGGACAGGTGGAAGAAGGAGAGATAGGGAAGAGAAATTACCAATGGATGGATGCAGAGTGATGCTCATAAGATGTCTCTGCTAAAAAAAATTAATAATAATAATAAAAATGAAAAAGTAAAAAATAATAAACAAAATATTGAGTTGCAACAAACAAACACACTGGCAAACACTGAATGCATGATTAGGGAGTTGAAAAGAGCAAGATGAAAAGAGCAGAAGGGTGAGGGTGAGGGAGAGGGGGGGGAGGGGGGGGGGAGGGGGGGAGAGGGAGCGGGTGTGGGAGAGAGAGAGAGAGGGGGGGGGAGAGGGAGCGGGAGAGAGAGAGAGATAGAGAGATAGAGAGAGAGAGAGAGACAGGGGAGAGAGAGAGAGAGACAGGGGAGAGAGAGAGAGAGAGAGAGAGACAGGGGAGAGAGAGAGAGACAGGGGAGAGAGAGAGAGAGAGAGAGACAGGGGAGGGAGGGAGGGAGAGAGAGGGAGAAAGAGGGGGAGAGGGGGAGAGGGAGAAAGAGGGGGAGAGGGGGAGAGGGAGGGAGGGAGAGGGAAGGAGGGGGGAGAGAGAGAGAGAGAGAGAGAGAGAGAGAGAGAGAGAGAGAGAGAGAGAGAGAGAGAGAGAGAGAGAGAGAGAGAGAGAGAGAGAGAGAGAGAGAGAGAGAGAGAGAGAGAGAGAGAAGAGAGAGAGAGAGAGAAAGAGAGAGAGAGAGAGAAGAGAGAGAGAGAGAGAGAGAAGAGAGAGAGAGAGAGAGAGAGAGAGAGAGAGAGAGAGAGAGAGAGAGAGAGAGAGAGAGAGAGAGAGAGGAGGGAGGGAGGAGAGAGAGAGAGAGAGAGAGAGAGAGAGAGAGAGAGAGAGAGAGAGAGAGAGAGAGAGAGAGAGAGAGAGAGAGAGAGAGAGAGAGAGAGAGAGAGAACAAATGCGGAGGATAACAGAGTGGCAGTTGGCGAGGAAGGAAAAGGATTGGGAGAAAAGGAAGGACAGTGTAACCCCAACAATTCGGGGAAGTAAAATGCACAAGGAAAAAAAAAAAAAAAAAAAAAAAAAAAAAAAAAAAAAAAAAAAAAAAAAAAAAAAGCAACAGAAAAAATGTATCACAGAAGCGATCCACTTTCAAAATCAGGGAGGGCAAAATCGTCAGAGAATACTAGAAAAAAAACGCTCATTAATAAATAACAATAGCAATACTGATACTGACAAGTAGTGAATGAAAAATGCACCCTAGGGTTGTACTAGGCAAAATCACAAAAAGGACTGTAACAAAAGGACAGATACTCTTATCTTAAATGCCTGTAGATTATTTAATGAGAGCAATACCATAGGTCATTAGTTACATATTACATAGCTGCAAAAAGCTTATACACAGGAAAACAAAGAGGCAAAAGCAAAAAATATTCTCAATTTGAGGGATGAAAGAGAGAGAAAAAAATAAATAAATAAATAATAATCATAATAATAATAATAACAACAATTCATAAACAAGTAAATCATTACTTATACACACCAACATCTATTCAATATTGAATCGTTAATCAAATGTATCAAAAAGAGAGCAAGGAGACCAAGAGGAAAAAAAAAAAAAAAAATTTGATATCAGAAGTTTCTCCACCAAATATCTGTAAAGGTGCACTCAAAGAAATCAAATAAGTTATTCTGGACCACAACATAACTAGCTTCCAATGAGCATTATTGTAACATTTTTTTTCTTTTTTTTTTTCTGTGAAAGAAAACGTTCCTGATGTATTCTTTCTTTTCTTTCTATTATGCTCATTTAAATATATCTAAATAATCAATAATTAACAGATATAACAATAAAGATAAAAAGAATAAGAGTAAGAATTTATAACAATAACAGTAAAGATAATAATAATAATAATTATAAAAATAAAAATAGTAATGGTAATTGTAATAATAATAATAATAATAATAATAATAATAATAATAATAATAATAATAACAAAAACAACAATAACAGTAAAACTATATAAAAAAAAGTGATAATAATAATAGTATATGTACATACATCATACATATTACATATATATTATATAATGCATATAAATATATATATATATATATATATATATATATATATATATATATATATATATATATATATATATATATATATATATTTTCACATATATATAAATACACATGTATGTAAATACATACATATATAAATAAATATGTATATAAATACCTACATACATACATTCTCTCTCTCTCTCTCTCTCTCTCTCTCTCTCTCTCTCTCTCTCTATATCTATATATATATATATATATATATATATATATAAAAACACACACATACATAAATACATACACATATAAATATATATGTAATATATATCATATACACATAAATGAATATATATATATACATAAATATAAGCATATATATATACATATATATATACATAAATATATACATATATATATACATACAAATATATCTATGCATCCATATAAATATACATATATATACATATACATATATACACATATATACATATATACATACACATATATAAACATATATATACATATATGTACATATACATAAACATATATCTATATACATATACATGCATAAATATTCATATTTACATACATATACATACACATAAACATATACATATATATACATATACATAAATATATATACATATATAGACAAATATATATGCATACCTAAATACATATATATACACGTATACATCTATAGATCTACAGATCTATCTCTATATACCTATATCTATATTTAGTGAACTATCTATCTATTTATCTACTGACAAATAGATATATATACACAAATATATACACATATATATTTCAATATACATATATATATATATATATATATATATATATACATGTATGTATTGTGTGCATATATGTACCTTTATACATATTTATATATATATACATACAAATATGCACAGATATATAAACGTATATACATATACATATACACATACAAAGATACATTGACAGATACACAGATATACACATTAACCCAATGGTGCCAGATCACCACACTGTCCACAGTCCTTTTCTTTTGTGAATTTCGTTTGCACACAGATGACCATGCAAATGCTCAGCCACAAAGGTGCCAGTTAGGCTAAAGGCCCTCAGCTGATTTCCCCTTTCCTTGAGGGGGGGGGGGGGATTTAATGTTGTTATTAACTATTTTGTTATTGTTGTTGTTGACATTATCATCATTACAATGCTATTGCCAATACTAATAGCAATAACATATAAAATAGAATCTTTCAAAAAAAAAAAAAACAAACAAGGAAATGGGTTAACCTGTGAGTCAGACAGGACTAGTAATTGACTCCTTGGTGATTAAACACTTGTAGAGTCATCCATATGTAAAGACAATCAATTAAAAAAAGACAAAGGGCACAGCATGTATTCCTGCCATCCCAACAACAGTGGGTTAACAAAACTAAAATAAAATTTCAAAATCAGAGAAAGACTTGTGGTGTGAAAAAATTACAAGGAACAAATCATGGAAGACTAATAAAATAATATCATCACAAACTGGCCTCATTCACACACACAAAAAAAAAAGATTAAAATGGCTAATAAAAAAAAGAAAAGAAAAAAAAAAAAAAAAAAAAAAATATATATATATATATATATATATATACATACAAATATATCTATGCATCCATATAAATATACATATATATACATATACATATATACACATATATACATATATACATACACATATATAAACATATATATACATATATGTACATATACATAATCATATATCTATATACATATACATGCATAAATATTCATATTTACATACATATACATACACATAAACATATACATATATATACATATACATAAATATATATACATATATAGACAAATATATATGCATATCTATACATAAATACATATATATACACGTATACATCTATAGATCTACAGATCTATCTCTATATACCTATATCTATATTTAGTGAACTATCTATCTATTTATCTACTGACAAATAGATATATATACACAAATATATACACATATATATTTCAATATACATATATATATATATATATACATACACATGTATGTATTGTGTGCATATATAGACCTTTATACATATTTATATATATATACATACAAATATGCATATATATAAACGTATATACATATACATATACACATACAAAGATACATAGACAGATACACAGATATACACATTAACCCAATGGTGCCAGATCACCACACTGTCCACAGTCCTTTTCTTTTGTGAATTTCGTTTGCACACAGATGACCATGCAAATGCTCAGCCACAAAGGTGCCAAGTTAGGCTAAAGGCCCTCAGCTGATTTCCCCTTTCCTTGAGGGGGGGGGGGGGGGGATTTAATGTTGTTATTAACTATTTTGTTATTGTTGTTGTTGACATTATCATCATTACAATGCTATTGCCAATACTAATAGCAATAACATATAAAATAGAATCTTTCAAAAAAAATAAAAAATAAGGAAATGGGTTAACCTGTGACAGGACTAGTAATTGACTCCTTGGTGATTAAACACTTGTAGAGTCATCCATATGTAAAGACAATCAATTAAAAAAAGACAAATGGCACAGCATGTATTCTTGCCATCCCAACAACAGTGGGTTAACAAAACTAAAATAAAATTTCAAAATCAGAGAAAGACTTGTGGTGTGAAAAAATTACAAGGAACAAATCATGGAAGACTAATAAAATAATATCATCAAACTGGCCTCATTCACACAAAAAAAATAGATTAAAATGGCTAATAAAAAAAAAAAAAAAAAAAAAAAAAAAAAAAAAAAAAAATTATATATATATATATATATATATATATATATATATATATATATATATATATATATATATATATATTAATGAATAAATGAAAAAAATATAACTTTCCAGCATCAGACAACATCCACGAGTCAAGTTACACGTCCTGCTGTCCCCTATTACGGAACTGTCGTATAATGAAAGCGCTATAAAGGAAGTCCCTGACTGTAAAGTGAATCAAGCTATCTCTCTCTACGCACTCTTCGGGTTGCCTAGAGTCTCCGGAAAGGATTGTCACAAACAAAGAGAGGCAGGTTTAAGAAAATGTTAAAGACTCTGGAAGTAGATACGGAAAGAGACAATTATATGTCAAGTCCACTAAAAGAAAGCATTAAGAGTAAATCGTAATAATACTAGTGATATAATAATAGTATGCCATAGTAGCAGTAGTAATTGCAGTAGTAGTAGTAGTAGTAATAGTGACAAAGTAAAAAAATAAAATAGAATACAGAGGCAATATCACCATTGAGTCGAAAGAGAATTTGAAAAGGAAAAGATTTATTAGAGATTCAATTCACTAAAACATGAGAGCTATGGTAAAAACTATTAATAAAGAGCACTATACAAAATACATGTTAAATACTTGTGCATATACTTCTATACTGCCACAGAAATGAGGCTGTTAACTCGGACGCAACATGACACTTTTACCGAGGACAATCTTAGTTTGAATCAATCTAGATCCGTGTCACAGAGAGAAAAAAACAAACAAAATTTTAAAAATAGAATAAAGGCTCTTGATTTTGCCATTCCATGCAATTCTCTTTACTTCTTATGAACAAAATACGTGCAAATCATACCCATCAGTACCTGTGCAACTCAGCAATCATCTGATGGTGTCAAGAAATTTATACTTTATAACTAATATATAGTAGTTTTAAGTTGTGACTACAACACAAACGGTCAGCCTAAAAAAACAATAATAATAAAAATAAAAATAAAATATAAAATTAAAATAAAGAAAGTAAGAACAACAGTAGTAACATAAAAACATACAAGAAAAACTAAAAAAAAAATGGCTTACAAAACAATAAAAACAAAGCAACTACATCCCAAAGTTGACAGCACACAAGAGATAATCCTCATTTACGTTCTTTTACACACACACGGCTCTATTTACTCTAAAGTGGTCCAATAAAATTTGTACGAAAGAGGTCCAAGGCGAAGTGAAATTTCCACCGTGTCTCTATTACAACAGGAGATTATTCCATGGCGTTCAGGTTTAAAATCTCTTCAACACGGCACTCGGTGCTACTTGTACAGAGACCATGCTTAGGAATTTTTATCTTTAGTTTGTCTGAATTGCTGAGGTGACACTACAAATTGCTCCTAATGAGACTTTTAACTTTGAGAGGCAGAGTATCAAGTGCAGATAATTGAAAAAAACATAAAAGAAAAACAGAAAACAAGATTTCTTCTAAATAAAGGAACTGGGAGACTGAGGCCAAATTTTGAAGGACATTTTTTTTTTTTTTTTCGGTTGATTACCCAAGGGAAATATATATTCTTAAGAACAAATACAAAAATACAATATACTTTTCAGATGTTTCTAATTTGGACTAGAGAGAAGAAGACCTTAATCAAATACTATATTTCACAAAACAATAACTGTGAAAAAAAAAAAAATTAGTTGGTTAATCAAAATATTCTATCAAATTCAGTTAAGTGAAACTAAAAAAAAAATAATAATAATAAATAAAAATATAAATAAACAAATAAAAAAACTATTAGGTACAGAAAAAATAAGGTAAAAGCAGAACGGAAAAAAGAGAGAGTTCTACTAACACTCACTGTAAGAAATGGCGTCAAACGGTGAATGATGGTTATTGTGGTGGGGGGTGAGCGGGCCTGACGAGTACCCTCCCCCATAGCCATCACTGCCCCGCAGATCTCTGAGGTCCCGGCCCCCACCTTCAAACTTCAGCCCGTCTGACTTCTGGGGCTTGGGGTCGGCAAAAACTGGCTTAAAGGTACGTTCACAGCTCTCGAAGGCTTTTGCCGCATGTGACATCCTGAAAGAGCCATTCAAGCATGACGTGTACATACGACGTGAATATATGGGCATGGCAGACAGACAGCCGGACAAACAGGCACGCACATATGGGGAAACTTGACCAAGAAAGAACAGTAGCATTACCTGTGATATTTAACATAGGCGAAGCCTTTGCTGTCACGAGTATTCCTGTCCCGAACGATGGAGACGTAATCAATGTCGCCGAACTGTACAAAATGCTCCCTGAGCTCAGCTTCCCCCAGCGACTTTGGCACAACAACAAACAGCCGCAGGAGCCTCTCCTCCTCGTTCATGTCTCTCCGCGATCCTTGCTCACGACTGTGAAAGGGAGACGGAAAAATTCAGTCATAATGCCTGGGGATTGCGACGGAGTATGAAAACAAGATTAAAAATAAAAGAAAAAGAATAAGTGAGAACAAGAGAGAGAAATATGCTAATCTATTCAAGTCAAACTGTATGTTGCTGCACCTTACCTCTCTCCCCTTTAGAGCTATAATCATCTACTCTTATGAATATAAGTGTGACCTATCTTTTTATTCTTTTATCATCAACTTGATGGTTTTTAATTTTCTTATTACTCTAAATGAGAAAATAATAATAATTACAATAATGATAACTTTTGGTAAAATAAAATTACATGACAACTTCAGAGAAGAAATAGACACAAAAGCTACATATATCATTTACATCTTCCATGACTTTATTAAAATGAGTAAACAAAAGAATTAATTCAAAACCTACATGTGTTAAGAATGCTAATCAGCAGCCATAAAGTTCCCTTTGGAGCCAAATACATGATCAACTATGAGCCACTTTCCACTCTCTGAATGACAAACCAAGTGCATGAACTTACTAGCGGTTTCGTACTGTTAGGATTCTGTTTACATCAAAAAAAAAAAAAAAGGCTTGTATCAACATATCACTCTCTCTCTATTTCCATTATAAACTATATTGAACAGAACTTTTTTTCTCTCAAGAACCAAATATTATCTACAAAACTCTAATAATAAAAGTATCGGTCTCCTCAATCGCACTGATGTAAGACCAGTGCCTTCACAATATCCTTCCTAGGAATTTACTTTATCTTCATCCAAGTAAAGATAAGACCCTTTCCTGTACGTTAATGGCCAATGTGAATTCTTTAAACTAACTGTTTTTTTTTGTTTTTGTTTTTTTTACATCACTTTACTCCACCTTTCTTTAAACCAAAATAACCACATGAAACTAAAAAAAAAAACTATCGACCACAACCTCTTTTCCTGTTTCCTTGAATGCATAAACACAAGAAAAATGAATTAATGAAATATCAACATACAAATGCATAAATATCAATAAAATATGTTGAAATAAAAAATAATGATTCATTTACACTTGATTTTAGCAACAGCATTATAGAATACACAGCTCTGCTACACTCGGAGAGGGAGTAGCCGAACACTTTTCTACAAGCACTGAGCAGTTCAAAATACTGCACGTAATATTAATCTCATACTTCAAAAAACACTTAGTACATGAGTGAATAAATGAATACCAAGATAAAAATTACTTAATCATAATAATAGTACCACAAAAATGATAATGATGACAATAATGAGAATGAGAATGATAATAATGACAATGATGATGATGATGATGATGATGATGATAATAATGATAATAATAATAATAATAATAACAATAATACTAATAATAACCATAACAATAATAATAATTGTTATAATATCAATAACAGTAATAATAATAATAATAATAATGATGATAATTACAATAATTATAATAATAATAATAACTATAATTTTCATTCTATAACAATATTAATAAAAATGATGACAATAATGATAATGATAATAGTAATAGTAATAATGATGATGGATGGCGATGGTGATGATGATAATGATGATACTTTTATTATTATTATTATTAGATTGGATCTGGGTGACAGGAATGTTGCATCATGAAAAGTTTAGCCGAGTGACGAGTGACAGGCCGGGGTGATAAAACAGATCGTCATGGGATATTATCATCCAGTGGCAGACGAAGGAGCTACCTCGCCAGGAGTGCGCAAAGCTCTTGGAGAGAGATAGGACTTAAGGCTTTTGAGAAGGAGGCTCTTACAATAGTTCCACTGGTATATGAGGCTGGAAAGTATATTGACTACCATCTGTGAGCCATGCAGAGGAAACTATTCCTGCCTGCCTCGACTGGTAGCGCAGGGTGTTACGAAAAATGATATATAACAATAATATAAAGAATAACACAAATAAGACTTATTGCTACTATCAGTGAACATAACTGTCAACTAACTAACTAAAGACATAACACAGAATCAGCTAAGCAAAGTCTCTTACCCTCTTGAAACAGCACATCGAAGGTCAAATACAGACCTCGAAAAATAGCAAATCAGCAAAATATGCAACATGCAGAATAAGAGCTAATATCATAGAAAATTGGAGGCAAGGAGTCCTGACGCCAAATGAGTGTTTGCATGCCAGTCTTACAAAGCATACACCTGGGAGTCACCACTCAGGTCTAATGTCTTGACTTTGGTCTATGTTCAGGCTGCAAGGCACCCAGATCCAACACATTAATAACAATAACAAAAGCAATAATAATATGAAGAATAAGAATGATAATCATAATAATCATAATAATGACAATAATGATAATGATAGTGATGATAATAATAAAAACAATAATAAATATATCAACAATAGTAATAATAACAATTATAATAGAAATAATAACAAAAACAATGATAATAATAATAATAACAACAAAAATTATAATAATAAAAATATTCATAGTAATAGTAATAGTCATAATGATGATTGATGATTGATGATGATGATGATGATGATAACAACAATAATAATAATAATTAATAATAATACTAATAATACTAACTGTAATGGTATTAGTAATAACAAATTTCATCATCACAAACAAATAATCATAATCAATAATTAATAATCATAATCATCATGATTGATCATGATGATGATTATGATATCAATAGCAATAACAATAACAATAATAATAATAATTATAATACTAACAATAACAATAATAATAACAATAACAATAATAATAATAATAATAATAATAATAATAATAATAATAGTAACAATAACAGTAACTATAATAATAATAAGTAAATACAAATAGAAATATAATAAATAAAATTAAAAATAATGATGTTAATAATTATGATGACAACAGTTATAATAACAATATCAAAAACAATGATGATGATGACAATCATGATGATAATCATAATAACAATAATAATTATTATATTTATTATAATCATTATAATTATTATAACTATTATAACAATAATAACAATAACAATAAAAAATAACAATAACAATAATAAATAACAATAAAAAATAACAATTATAACAATAATGAGAAAATAATAACATTGATAATAACACTAACTAATGATAATAACAAAAATCAACGATGATAAACACAATAACATTAACAATACAGATAATGATAAAATCAACTAAATGATAATGACAATGATAACGATAATGATAATGAGAACAATAATGATCACGATGACAAATCATAACAATACGAATAATAAAAATGACTTTTTTTAAAGGTATACAACCCAATACAACTATCAATGCTAATCAATTAAAAGCAACAAGTGTTCCCTTTATCTTACCTGTGTGCGATGAGGACCTTGAGTGGTCTCGGGTGCCCCCCTATACACTTCCCGTTCATCTCCTCCATGGCCAGCGCCGCTTCGGAGGTCTTGGAAAACTTTATATAAGTTACGCCTGCGGAAAGCGAGAAAAAAAAAAGACGTTAGATCGTAAAGAGGAAACCGAGCTTGGTTCTTGAATTGCTGGGTAAATGTTAAAAAAAGATAATATAATAACAACAGAGGTGTAATATAATAATAGAGGTAACTGATATATGTAGCTTTGTCATTATGGGGGGAAAATTATAGTCTCTTATGTGAATGATCTTGGATACAATATATACCATCATTAAATTAGTTCTAATAATAGATTCTTTATGGCATATATGTGCTGAGAATACTAGTCAATTCAAACACCTAATTACATATAAATAGGAAGAAAATCACTCTCTTCTCACCTATCTTGCTTGTCAAGATCAAGACTCCATTTAGTCTAAGCCATAAAGGAAAACAGAAAAAAAAAAAAAAAAAAAAAATCAACTACTCTCACCACAGCTCCCATTTTTAAACCCTCTGGCATGAAACTATTAATACATGACCTTTATGAAATCTCCCTCATAGATTACTCACCATCTTAGGGTACTTTTGCACTACGGGAGGGCTAAGCTACACATTCACTGACTTTAGACAACGAATTACAATTTACACAATTTCTCCTTCTTAACAGGTGACAGACATACCTTCTAGGTATCTGTATAATGTGCATTTCCTTGTGTATGTTTGAGTTTTATTGTTCAAATGTGTGTAGACTTGTGTTTATGTTTCAGTTATATATCTACAATAACATCAAAAGTCTTTCTCTGTCTATGTCTCTGTCTAAATATCTAGCAAGAGATATAGATACATATAGATATATATCTCTTAAGTGTACAAATCTGGACATCAATCAATCAATGCTCAAGAGATTATGTATTTTCTTCCATTTTAAGTCTATCACGTATACCGAGTTATCAAGAAAGGTATCTTAAAATAAGGTCTCAAAAAATGTACAAACATAATAAACAAACAATATTTCAAAACATCAGCAATTTCTGTATGACACTTTTCATACCCCCCCCCCCCAAATCATCCCATCTACCAGTGGAAAATTCTCCTTCATAGCAATATCAACGACAACAGAAGCAATCGACAAATATATACAACCATGTGAGTGATAATATAAAAGAAAAATAATAATAATAATCATATTTTCAAACTACTACTAAAACCCAAAATACTTAAATATTAACTGTTAATCACTCAAATTTAAATTTATTCAAACTAATGAGGACAGGTGATGCCTTATCAACACTGCAAGCCTGCCCCCCCAACTGGATGAGATCTACACAGGAGACAATCCTCTGACTTTTGAGCAACGTGCACTAACAAAGTTGGGCGAGTTAAACCAGAAAAAACAAAAACTGCATTCAACGTTGCAATTAAATCTTCATTAATAAAATATATGGTTGATATAATCTTTACGAATGCATTTTTTTTCTCTACATTCACTCTCCTATTCTTAACAATTGAATTCTTAAGAAGTAAAGAAAACATAAAGGATTCATTTCTATTAAATAAAAACTAAAATGTAAAACAACTAGAAGACTTCAATTCCCTTTTCTATAGCTAATTTGATTTTTTCTCTTCCCACATAATACCAAATGTACAATTAACAGGCAGTTAAAAATATAATAATAATAATGATTTTATATATATATATATATATATATATATATATATATATATATATATATATATATATATATATATATATATATATATATATATATATATATCATTATATATATATATGAAATATATATATAATACATTAAATATACGTAATATAAAATATATGATATATGTGTAATATATAATATATATATATACATATAAATACATATATATATATATATATATATATATATATATATATATATATATATATATATATATATATATATATATATATATATACACACATATAAATATATATATATATATAAAAATATATATATATATATATATATAAATATACATATACATATACATATACATATATACATATACATATATACAAATACACATATACACATATATACATATACACATATGCATATATATACATATACATATATATATATATTTATTTATTTATATCAATATAGTGCAATCCATTAATTTTAAGCTGTCACCCCATTCACACCTGTTCTCCACTAGTGCTATATAATCAATACTCTAGCACCCATGGAAAAAATATCTGAGATCGTCCTTCAACTATTTTCTTATATTATAAACTTTATTATTCAAAAACATTTGATGTTGAAGTCAAAGTTGGTCTCATATGAAGACAAGCATTGAGGACATATACAGAAGCCTATATAAGAAAATGCACACTAAGTCAAGTGATAGTGTGGTAAAGTGGCTAGCCTAGTACTCACTCACAGCTGAGATCTGGCAACAACCAGCACCCTGCTAACAAGCTATCAACTACCACCTTCAGCCCCAAAAACACTAAGTATGCAAAAAAATAAAAAATAAAAAATAAAAAATAAAAAAAAAGTAACAGCTGTCCTTAGATATTCGACCAATCTGACATTTCTCTGATAAGTAATCAATACTTTTCAAAATTTCCAAATAGCTAATTTGAAGAATTTTAAGGTTTTGACATGACGTGGCAATGCCACATAAGTGTTAAAAAAATGGCAATCAATTTAGTTGTGTTAACATAATATTTGTAAGGAATAGTTCAGAAAAAGAAACACCTCTCATACAAGATACAAAATAGTAATTAAGAGCAACAGTAGCAGACTAGATGCAGCACTAAACAGCAGCAGAAAAAGTAGTTGTAAAATTAATTCTAGCAGAGAGAATTGGTAACAAACAGAACACTTCTAGTAATGGTAGTAGTAGAAATAGAAATGAGTAGAAATGGTGATTATATTACTAATTGTAACATTACTAATAAATGTATCATCTGTAGTACTAGCTGTAATAAAAACAATAGTAGAAGTAGCAAAAATAACAGTAGCATCCAAGTAGGCCTTGTAGTAATGCAGAAATGGTAAAATGGTAATGGTAAAGACAGCCAGTGAAAAAAATAGAAGCTAGTAAAGATAAGACATAGTAGTTGTTAATAATAGTAGTTATTTTGAGTAAAAATAGTATTAGAAAATTTAGAAACAGTAAAAATAACTTAAGTAATTTTAGTTTAGTAGTAGTAATAAAGATTGTAAGAGTAAAAATAGTGATTTCTATTTGTAATTATATTTGAAGAAAAGGAAAATGGTAATTACAAAAATAATATGTATAAAAAGAAGAAATATTAAAAGACAAGTCTAACTATAATATAATCTATTAACTAAAACAAAATAATATCCATCCACAGGTATACTTTTCCCTGAAATCCCAGGACTGCCTTATAGAACTTCAATACATCTTCCCCATTCCCCAATTCACCTGTAATAATGCAAAAC